AGCCTCAGTAAAGCAATACCACGTTCTCTGTGTTAGTGATGATGTTGATAGTAACCATATGGCCTCTACTAACGTCTACTAACGCAATTGAACGGAACAAACACTTCGATGGTGTTATTTGATCAGTAATAGCTTTTTGGAACCTGGCCCAGACTCACTAAAGCAATACCACGTTCTCTGTGTTAGTGATGATGTTGATAGTAACCATATGGCCTCTAGTAACGTCTACTAACGCTTTTGGACGGAAAAAGCACTTCGTTGGTGTTTTTCGATCGGTATTTGCTTTTTGGAACCTGGCCCAGCCTCGCTTAAGCAATACCACGTTCTCTGTGTTAGTGATGATGTTGATAGTGACCATATGGCCTCTACTAACGTCTACTAACGCTTTTGGACGGAACAAACACGGCTTTGGTTTTTTTCGATCGGTATTTGCTTTTTGGAACCTGGCCCAGCCTCGCTTAAGCAATACTACGAACGGTGTGTTAGTGATGATGTTGATAGTGACCATATGGCCTCTACTAACGTCTACTAACGCAATTGAACGGAACAAAGACTTTGTTGGTGTTATTTGATCGGTATTAGCATTTTGGAACCTGGCCTAGCCTCACTAAAGCAATACCACGTTCTCTGTGTTAGTGATGATGTTGATAGTGACTATATGGCCTCTACTAACGTCTACTAACGCAAATGAACGGAACAAACACTTCTTTAGTGTTATTTGATCAGTATTTGCTTTTTGGAACCTGGCCCGGCCTCGCTGGTGCAAGACTGCGGCTGTGGTGATAGTGAATGATGTTGATAGTGACGAGATGGCCTCTACTAACGTCTACTAACGATTTTGGGACGTTTTCTCTTTTGGCACGTTTTTTTGGAAGTAACTTAACATGTGAATGTGGCCCGCCTTTTGGGTATTTTTTTAAAACGCACTTGGGTGTGTATACTAACGGCCGCATTGGGTCTACAATCATGTACTAACGATATACTAACGATTGCAGAAGGAAATTTGTTGCAGGCTGTGTGTGGGCGGGCTACCTTCACGGACCTGTTCCAGACCGAGAAAGCCACACTGTAAAAAAATCCGTACTTTTGTACGGAAATGGTACAGAAAAATATAGTACGGAGGTACGGAGAAAAGTACGGAACGTTCCGTAGTTGGCAAGTACGGACGGTCCAGGCAAATTATTGACCAGACGTGTTCCGTACTTTTTCCGTACTTTTTTCTCACAGTGTACTTGGCCGGCGACCATTTCGGATCCACGAAATAGTCCTGAAGTCCCAAGACAGTTCAAAGGGCGAACATTTATCAGTCACGGAAAAAAATGTGTAGAGTCGCCGTGTTAAAAAAGCGTCCCAAGAGGCGCTGATACGATGAGATTGCAGAATATTTTTTCTTGACTCAAAACCACTTAAGCCCAGTGGTAATATGGCCCGAAACTTTGATTGGTCACAGTTCCTCAAATAATTGTCTGAGATGGTTGAAATTTTGTAGGGGTGTTGATTCTTGGGAAGGCACCATTTTTGGCGAGCGATAGCGAGCCCATGCCGTGTTTGGGGGTACCAAAAAGTGACTGGTCGTGCGTCTGTCTGTCTGTCTGTAACTCACTCACGTTTCTCATCAACTACCGCACAAATAGTTTCAAAATTTCGCACCGGAAGGCTCCTAAATCTCCCCCAGGGGGAGTTTATCTTATATTCACGATTACTATTGTTTGAAATATTCAAAACATCTTTTTGAATTAGGTTCTTAGCGTGGTTAGGTTGGCAGTGGTTGGCAGCTCGTAGCAATTTTTCATACTTGCGGCCGCGACTCTCAAATACGGGACCTCGCAAAACATTGGCAAATAAAACAAACTAAAGAGCAGAAGGGCTTAGAAGTGAGTACGGTCATAGTTTTTCGATATTTTAGAATCATTGAAACCCCTCCGGAGTGTCAACTCAGTGAAATACGGAAAATGAAAGTGACAATTATTACGCGTTTCGTCCGTCCATCCACCCCCTCCCCTCCCCAGCTACAGGGGAAATGTTTTAGTCAGTGGAGTGTGTTTGATAATTGCAAGAATGATTTGGTCTTTTTAACCTTTGTTAGTGTATTTCCATTTATATTCTCAGACACTATATTTTTTAGTTGTTTGCTTTGCTCAATTACAAGTTAGAAAATATATTAATACATTCTATGAGTACAAACCAGATGCTAATCTTGCCAAAATAAATAGTCTTTGCTGACTCCTGGCACTGATTCTGGGAAAAGGCTTCATTGCAATGCTGTGAGTTTACTATAGTACTAACCTTAAAGAAAACCATATGATGAGTGAGTGTAGCGCATTCAAGGTTTGACATTGACATCAGATTCAATGAGACGATTCACTGACTTGGTCATATGATTTCATGAGACGATTCTTTTAACTTAATCATACATTGTCTGCGACAACTGGTAATTTGTGTTGGTCACCCTTATAAAAATTATTTGCTCCGAGATCTGTCCGAGCGGGGTTCCAGCCCGAAAGAGGTCCGTCGGGCTAGTCCGACGAAGCTCCAGAATGTTCCCAAATCGGCAACTTTACGGATGTGTCCGAGAACCGAAATGCGGGCTGGTTTCGGACTGTCCGAGTCTCGGTTCCGAAAAAGATCCGACGGCGGTGAGCCAGAGGCAAGCCGTATTCGAACCCTCGCTTCCCGCCTTCCTCTCTGTCTTTGCACACCAGTGCTGACGTCGGAGCCAACTGAGCTAACCCGACAGATGAGGATTGGGGGCTCCGGTGAGCCTCTTCACTGACTCTGCGCTGCGCTCTCCGCTCCGCTCCTTCCTCTGGGCGCTGGGAGGCGCGATTTTCAAGATAGAAGAGTGGGGATTTCTCAAGGGGACCTCGAATTTAAAATATTTCACGTCCAACACGTTTTCTTACGCATACCTGTATTTAAAGTTTCCTGTTTCTCCGGTTGTACGAAACAATTTAAATTAATTGACTGAATGCATTCTTGCAATTCAAACCACGTTTTGTGGTATTTGTTTCGGCACATACTCAGTAACGACAAAAAATTGCTGTATTTCCAATAAATTTTTAATTCTAAATTTCCTTACGAAAGGCGAATGTTTGAGATTGAACATTGCGGAATCACTTCGACACACCTCAACTGTGGCTCCGCTAAAGGAACATTTGTCTAAGTCCCAAAGCGAGGGGGAAACGGTACAGAGTTCCGAAAACAGTCCGGAGGGGAGACTTTCCTCGGACGTATTCCGGGTAAGTCCGCTGCCCCGGACTCCCGGCGGACTGACCCGGACTTTCCAGGGAGTCCCGGACACATATCGGTCTGGCCCGTCCGAACAGCGGCCCCTTCGCGGACTAACCACGGAATCGTCCGAGGGCATTCGGACGCTTCTGGGGACAGCCCGAGGTGGCGGGGGCTCTTTCGGACGGCTGGCGGCAGGATTTCGGAACAATTCGTTTTTACACGGGATGGTTTGAGTTGGCTTTTTTTTTTTAATTTACTCAGAATGTTAGGTAAATACTTTTGCTAAACTGTTTCAAAGATTAAATAACACACCATGACTATCATTATGAATAAGCTAAACTTGCGTTTAGCAATAAGTGGCCTCGACATTGGATTCTATGAAACGATTCATTGGATCTGACAGAAGGTCTTCTCCGTAAAGTAGTTGAAATCACCCTGCCTGTAAATATGTCTCTTTTTAATTAATGCAGATAAATCAATATAGTTTAATCCACTAGTTTAAACTAAAAGGGAGAAAGGCTTTTTAGGTAAGCTTATTACACTGTTAAAAATTATGTTGTAATTTAGCAGTAAATATGTTGCTAATTTTCTTAGCGATCAAAGTTGTTTTTAAATGACTTTTGTTGTTTACTAACGAGTTGCGTCGTTCGTCCACAAGATGTTTGTAAACCGATAGACAGCCTTATTTGCATTAATTTTTATTTCCGATTAGGTCACAGACCTAGTAGAGTCCCGGTTACCCCGCAGTAACCACTTCTTAGATTTGCCGGGTTGTTTGTACGCAGCACAATATTGTCTTGAAACAGCATAAGTCATTAAAATAATTAGCAACGAATTCGTCGTTTCAAAACAAGCAAACTTGTTCACAAACAACAGCGTTGTCGAGGTTGGTAACTGTGTTGTTGTTTTAAAACAACTATTTTTAACAGTGTACTAATATTATTGCGTATTCATAAGTTCAGTAACAAGGAGATATCGAATGGTAATTGAAGTATTTGTGAATCGTATTAAGCAATTCAATGCTGGCTGTTAAATGTTACTCGACTGAGTAACAGGGTCAGGGTTCATGGCATGACACCATGAACAGGAAACGCTCTTAAAAAACCTAACAACTGAAGACCCATACTTTCAACTAGAATTACATGATTTAGGACCAAAATTTCCTCGGTGTTTCATTGCTTCCTGCAGTATTTGGTGTGCTGATCACAAAAATGACTTCCAATTTCATCCCAGACCTTTACTTTTCCAAATATTTACCAATTTTGGACCAAAATTTTTGCATCGAGTTTTACATAGTTTCCTGCAGTTTTTGGTGTGCTGATCACGAAAATGACTTCCAATTTCATCTCAGACCTTTACTTTTCCAAATATTTACCAATTTCGGACCAAAATTTTTACATCGAGTTTTACATAGTTTCCTGCAGTTTTTGGTGTGCTGATCACGAAAATGACTTCCAATTTCATCTCAGACCTTTACTTTTCCAAATATTTACCAATTTCGGACCAAAATTTTTACATCGAGTTTTACATAGTTTCCTGCAGTTTTTGGTGTGCTGATCACGAAAATGACTTCCAATTTCATCTCAGACCTTTACTTTTCCAAATATTTACCAATTTCGGACCAAAATTTTTACATCGAGTTTTACATAGATTCCTGCAGTTTTTGGTGTGCTGATCACGAAAATGACTTCCAATTTCATCCCAGACCTTTACTTTCCCCAAAATTTACCAATTTGTGACCAAACTTTTAAAATTGAGTTTCACATTGACCCTGTATTGGCCTTACTTTGCATATATTCTTCACCATCTTCTACAAGAATACAGACGCATCGCTCGCCTACTACGCGCCCAAACAAAACGGCGCGTACCCCTAGTTAAAGAGGAGCGAAATGGACGATGGTCTATAGACCAAGTATACTTCGAACGGCCCCGGGATGCCCAAATCTTCAGTGGAAATAGCGAAATTGAGCAACTTTGAGAGCCCGTAGCGTCGAACGAGCGCATTTTTTTCTTCAAGGAAAACTTAGTGGGTAATTTGTTTTGGCCAGCCGGTTCCACTATCCCTAAACATCTCAAACCCTCAAAAAACAGCCACTTTTGGAGGTTTACGACCCCTATAAAAACCCGAAATTCGAGTCGGAACTCGCTCCTATGTTGTTTCGGCAGTGTCCGTGTGGATGAAAGGAACCCAGAACAAAGTTTGAGCTTGATCCAAGATGGTCGCAGGCCAAATTTTTTTTTGTTTGGAACGCCTCTGTCTAAAAAATATGACGTCACAATCGTTGAATAAAGGTGTGAGCTGTGAATTTCAGCACTTGCACTGTCAGGATCTGGATCCTTGTCGAAATGTGATTGGTTAACATCTATGGTGAGGGGGTCATTTTTCTGGGTGACACTTTGAGCTGTACGCCATCTTCGGCCCTGAGGATGACCCGGCCCGTCACCACCGGTTTGTAGCCGGGGCGAGGAAGGCTCAAGACGCAGTGCCGCACCACCTTCGCCACCGTCGATTTCATCTGAAGCATTCCAAACTTTTGTCCTGGAAATGAAAATTTTCAGTTAAATTTGTATTTTAGTTACCGGTACTCTCACAACATTTGTAGAGTGTACAGTGTCAATAGAGAGAACTCGGCCCATAAAACAAGTAGTGAAACCACATAATATTAAACATAAAATAATTAACAGAAATTGATTACAAGCTGGCTACTTAAAATCCCCCTATCTTTTTTTATGGACCCTGAACTCTTCTACTCCGTACACATCCAAGTGTGGGACTTTGCAGTTGTGACCGCTCGCATAGGCAGCATGTGTGGGACAAGCTGTGTCTCACACTTGCAAGTGTCAGACTTCCTTGTCCCACACTTGTAAGCGTGTCCCACACCTACAGGTGAGACTGTTTCACACTTGGATTGGCAGTGTAAAGTTCATTTACCAAACGCCACCTCTTGATACCGTTTAATCGTGACGCATGTAATTCTAACATATCTAAGACATTGATTCGAAGATGCAAATACTAGAATACCCACTTGTTCGGAAAGCCCACTGCATGATTCGTTTGGTTTATTACAGCCGAAGATACGGATTCAAGCATATTTTTTCTGCTTCCCAATATTGATTCAGTACAGATCCTATATGTGTTTCCCCAAATAAGTGCTCTACTCTACAAATCAAAGAGTGTACATGGTACGCTCTAACTGGAGCATGCCTGCAAGCACGCTCTAACTAGCGCATGCCTGCCAAGCATGCTCTAACTAGTGCATACATGCCATGTACACGCTAACTGAAGCATACATTTACTGCCTAAGGTATAGGGAGTTTTCTGCATCAGGAAGCGTGTACATGGCATGTATGCACTAGTTAGTGCATACTTGGCAGGCATGCGCTAGCTAGAGCGTGCTTGCAGGCATGCTCCAGTTAGAGCATACTATGCACACTCTTTGATTTGTAGAGTATATAAAAGATAAATTCGTACGTGGGCATGCAAGAATATGTTCACGTACATTTAGGACCTGAGAAGTTACAGCTTAAGTAAAAAGCTCCCTTTATTTAATTTTGTTACGACGAGTACCTTGGGTTCGCACTACTTACCAATGCAGTTTCTTGGTCCTGCTGAAAAAGGGATGTAGGCATACGGATGTCTTCCGGTGCAGTTTTCAGGAAGGAATCGGTCCGGATCAAACTTTTCTGGATCCGGGAAAACCTCTGGGTTGCGATTCATTTGGTAGCAGGCAATCAGCGCATTGGTGCCGGCGGGAATCACATATCCACCTGTTAACAATATATATTCTTCACACGCATTGTTATAGACTTCAAGAAGATCTGAGCGTCATTTGGACGGGTTCAGATTGGTATTCGATTTGGAGAGTTTGCAGAGATCCTTAACTTAACATTTAACTGACACTGCTTTTATAACGTAACACAAGACAGTGTTCGCTTAAGGTTAAGGGTACGGACTTATGAAAGTACTTTCAAAAGTATATCCACACAAATTCGAGACATAAAAAATAACCTACCCTTTTGAAAAGATGTTAGAAGTTAAGGGTAATAGCTTTAACTCTTATCATAACGTTATGATGCCCTTATGAGGTAAGTTAAGGATCGCTGAGAGTTTGTTCCGAAAAGGTGATGTTAGGATACTGACTTGCGCTCGCTTACGCCACACTGCTAATCCAAGTGTGGACCAAGTCCACACGCTAGGTAGCGTGGACCATTCGTGGACCACGAATGGTCCACGCTAGGAAACGTGGACCAAGCCGTGGTCCACGCCAGGAAACGTAGACCGAGCTGTGGTCCACGCTTCACAGCGTTGAACTTCTCATAGGCCAATCACACTTCCAAGTGTGGACCATCCGTGGTCCACGATTGTGGACCATTCGTGGTCCACGTTTCCTAGCGTGGACCATTCGTGGTCCACGTTTCCTAGCGTGGACCATTCGTGGTCCACGTTTCCTAGCGTGGACCATTCGTGGTACACGTTTCCTAGCGTGGACCACCGTGGTCCACGCTACCTAGCGTGGACTTGGTCCATACTTGGATTAGCAGTGCAGTCCCGAGGAGGCGGGCATTACCGCCGAACGCGGCCGAACGCCCGACAGTTAGGCAACTCATCCACCAGCAGTGCTGGCGGAGCATTACCATTACCATAAACGTTCAACCCGCTTTGCCACTAAGAACGAACCCGCTGAAGCAAGGATAATTCTAAGTGCTCTCTAAGTAAGTAGGACTCATTTCCTGTGTCAAATTATGGGCGAAATCAAATTTTTGGCACGTCTCGCCACTCCACAGGCGAGACGAAGTCCTGCCAAGTTTTCCTCAGACCGGAAAGTCGCGCCCAAATTTGGTCAGCCAAAAATGTCTCGCCTCAATTTTGGCGATATTATACCAGGTCTAACCGAAACTTTGGCGAGACTTCGTATCTCGCCATATTTTGACTAAGGGTCTTTCCATTTATTTTGCAGTTATATATTTTTTTAAGTGCACGTATTATGTTTGCTGTAAAAACACAACTGTCTACTAGGTACATACTTACAAATGCATGTGACATGGAGATATACGGCACTAAGCGTGTATTTGTATGTGTATAGTTTCTAAGTATGTAAACATTTCGTAATGGAAAAAAAATCTAACAGTGTAAAGTGTTTTCCACTCTACAAACTCAAGTGTGTACATAGCATGCATCAGGTTGAAGCATGCCTCCGAGTACACTCCGCGCTGGAGCATGCTTGCCAAGGAGACGCCAGGTCAGGTGGCGTGCAAGTACATTGTAGCTCTACTTTACATGAAAACACTGGGAAGCAGAGAGGTAGGGGATTTCAGCAACAGTGTACCCGCAGGTACCTGCGCCACCTGGCGTGGCAAGCTTGGTCCAGCATGGAGTCTTCATGCCAGGTTGGTTCCAAAGTGGAGTACGGTGTACTTCTATCTGAAGCTTGCTATGTACACACTTGAATACCTGTGATTGGAAGCTCCTCATTTATTCTCCGGGCGAACAGAGGCACGCTGGGGTAGAGGCGCAGGCTCTCCTTGATGACCCTTTCGGTGTACTTCAACTGGGCGAGGTCCTGCGATGTCACTGCGCCATCGGAGGCACCGAAGACCTCGGCCACCTCCTCGGCCAGGCGGTCTTGGACTTCCGGATTGGCGGCAAGGTTGTAGAAGATAAAGGACATGGCCGCCGCCGTGGTGTCGTGCCCCTGAGCAATTACAAACCGTGAAATACAAGTTCGTGGTAAAACGGCAATGTCGGGCATTGTGCAAAAGCATAGGACATTGTATAAAATGTGTGCTTGTATGCACTCCACAGTTATTATTAGCACTGTGCCTGCTAGTCAACTTGACAACAACGTGCCTGACCGAGACGGGTCCTAGGCACATATTTAGAAACTGTGTGCCTCCGTGCTTTCTATTTAGAACAGTTTATGCCTGTGGGCACATATTTTGAAAAGTGGCCCTGCCGTGTACACGTTGTGTTTGCAGAGCAGGCTTGTCATATTTGTTGTCATATTTCAGCAAGATATGGAAAATTGCGCACCCGGATGACAGTGGCGCCCTCTCTAACGAGTATTAACCTAATCGAGACCCATGGAAATGTTTCTCACCCCGAACATGAAGGTGTCCACCTCCTCCTGGATGTCGGAGTCGCTCAGGGCGGCGCCCGCTGAGTCGCTGGCCTCCAAGAGAAGGTCTAGGAAGGCCTCCCGCTTCTTAAGTCCTGGAAAGGAGAGACACTCATCTCAACCCGTTCTCTCGGACTCTAATGTCGGCCTCGTTGTGTTTGGCTACAAGGCAAAATAGTGTCAAGGTCTCCCAGGCAAACACTAGATTAATGTAGTGTTTGCCCGGGAAATCAGGACACCGTTGTTGCATGTTGCAGTGTCCGATCAATACACACCCAAGTCTTTGTCTGAGATGGACACACTGCCCTTGCGTCGCTCTTGACGTTCCTGGCGTCTGCTTTCGATGACCTGGGCAATGCAAAGTTCACTTTAGCCCTTAAATGTCTGACCCTTTCTTACTGGCAAGATTTGGTCTTGGATATTATACGATCATTAGCAAGTCGTGTGTAACCCCCAAAAAATTATTGTTATAGCTTCAGATAAGGGCTCTAAGTTGGGTTTGTACACTGTTAAAAAAATTCTACAAATTCAGACTAAATAGTCAAAAGCAGATTTTTACAATGTTGGTCTGAATATTCAGAGTAAGAATTGCTCTGAAAGATAAGACTTTGGAAATCTGAAAATCATAACTCAGTCAGTCTGATAATTTAGACAAGAGAATAGTCTGAAAATTCAGACAGCAATTTTTTTTATCGTAAGTGCTTCTTTAATCAAAATATTCTTTGTCGGTCTAAGCATTAGACTTTGCGATGAGAGAATTGCGCCTAGAACTGTACCGAAACTTGGTACCGGCACTGTGACTTGAACCCCAGACCTTCGGGTTACGAGGCAGCCAGCTTATCCATTTTTATGACAAAAAAAAAAACCAAACAACTTTAATAATAGTAAGTTCGTGGGAAACAAAACCATTTGACAACAAATTTAGTTTGTGAAAATTTGTCTGGGCCACGTCAACTGAGAAAATTTGCTTGTATTAATTGTTGACGGAGCAGATAAAAGGCCCGGCCAGCCGTATAATAAATTGTTTAGACAGTTACACATAAGTATCACACAGGGGCATACACACACGAGGAGAGAGATAGCAAATTTAAAGTAGTTTCATAGCTAAGGGGCCTATGGTGAAAGGGCGTATATTTTTATACCAAACTGTTCACGAGAACCTCCGCTACACGTTGGTGTGTTCGAAAAGTATCGTTCATGCATTAGTTTGCAAGATATTTAGAGTTAAAGTTTGGGTATTTTAACATGGTACACGGTGAAACCGATGTCTGGAAATTTCCAGACATTTTTTCCCATTTCCAGACATTGTCTGGAAATGCACTGAAAAACCAAACGTGGTCTAGACCGCACCAACTGGTGTGGTCAAATGGATACCATTTTGGCCACACCAGCCGGTGTGGTCTAGACCACTTTTGGTGCTTTTGGTGTGGTCTAGACCACCCCCGGGGCCAAAACGTGGTCTAGACCGCACCATACGTCGTCAAACGTGGTCTAGACCACACCAACTGATGTGGTCAAAATGGCATCCATCTGACCACCCCAGTGGTGCGGTCTGGACCACGTTTGGTTTTTCAGTGTGGCCGTTTTTTTCCAGACAATGTCTGGAAATGTCTATTTTTTCCAGATAATGTCTGGAAATGGTCAAATCCCAGATATATATCTGGAAAAAAAACGGCATTTCCAGACAATGTCTGGAAATAACTTTTTCCCAAATAATATCTGGAAATTTCCCAGATAATGTCTGGAAACAAAGGCCTTGACGCCGAGGCCCCCCGGACACGAGGAGCCCAAACGCCGAGGTCGCCGACGCTCTAGGACAAGCGGTTCCGGAGATACGAGGACGTACCACAAGGAGTCCGTCAAAGCAATTTTTTTAGTTGAGGCCAAAATCATCATCGGCCTCTGGCTGCGTTCCACTTGGGTGTCCGGGACTTTTGACTTCAGCATCGTGTTAAGGTAGTGCTAGACTACCAGGAACCCGTCAGAGGTCGCCGTCGGACCACCGGTGCGCCCAGGATGCCGACGAACGTGGCTGCTGTGCCGCCACACGGTTCAACACCGTTGTCGCCACCACCCAGGTGGTCCCCGATGGTGTCCTCGAGGTCCCCAGGACACGGGGAGTCCAACGCCGAGGTCGCCGACGCTCTAGGACAAGCGGTTCCGGAGATACGAGGACGTACCACAAGGAGTCCGTCAAAGCAACTTTTTAGTTGGAGGCCAAAATCATCATCGGCCTCTGGCTGCGTCCCACTTGGGTGTCCGGGACTTTTGACTTCAGCATCGTGTTAAGGGGGGACATCACTCCAAAAACAGTGCTTTTGTAAAAACGTCATAAAAACCAAACGGAAAGAGAAAAATTGTTCATATTTTAACAGATTAAGTATAAAACAACACAAAGTCAATCCGCCAGGGCAGTACAGCGCTTTCGTTGAAAACACATTTTTGCGTGTTAGGTTAGACCATTTCGCACTGTTGCAGCGCTGGACGCCAAACGGTTTGACCTAGAACATTGAAATTTGGTGACAGCCTTCCTGAGATGTCTGGCTATGGTGGGTACCTCAATCACATTTCAAAAATCATTTTAAGTTGGGTTTGTTACATACCAAAAAATATTGTTCAATTTTTTTGGTCAAAATTGTTTAATTTTAAACGTTAAAAAAATAATAAAAATTGACCAATGCAAATTATTTTGCTACCCACCATAGCGGCATGTCCTAGGAGCTTCCATGCTAAATCTCCCCGCTGTAGCTCAAAAACTGCGCCCTAGAGGCCTGCAACCGTTTGCAATTTCATGTTCCGAGAAAAACGCGATCAAAGTTGGGGAAACTGGGCTTTTCCCCTATGCATGTTTGCGGCGCACAACGTACTAAAACTGCAATTTTTTGAATTCCGGAATGCGGTTTTCATCATTCGACGCAGAAAGGAATGGTCTATAATATAAACTAATAAAAAAAAAGTTGCAATTTTTGATCATTTTGGAGTGATGTCCCCCCTTAAGGTAGTGCTAGACTACCAGGAACCCGTCAGGGGTCGCCGTCGGACCAACGGTGCGCCCAGGATGCCGACGAACGTGAGGCACGCCGGAGCGCCGTGGCGTGCCGGGTGCCTAAACGATCGTCGCCACCGCTGCGGCCGCTGCCGCCGCGGCCGCTGCTGCCGGGTCCTCCGCACCAACCGCGAGCTTGGACGACGGAGGCCGACGCCGTTGGCACCGACGCCGCCGACGTGTACGTCGACGCCACCACGTGCATAGTCGGCCGTTAGTGTGTTCTAACGGCCGCTTCGGCCTCTGGCTGCGTTCCACTTGGGTGTCCGGGACTTTTGACTTAAACACTGCGTTAGGGTGCACCTGGGCTACCAGTCAGGGGTCGCCGTCGGACTACCGGTGCGCCGTGGGTGCCGACGAACGTGGCGGGCAAGGTGCCTGAACGATCGCGTCGCCCCCGCCGCCGCCGTGTCCTACGTCGCGACCAACAGCTTGGACGACGGGGGCCGACGCCACCGACGTGTCTGTCAACGCCACCACGGCCAGGGCCGACGACGCTGCCGCGTGCCCGAAAGGCTAATGCCGCCGTCGTGTCCTGCGTCGCCACCGTGTGCTTGGACGGCCAGAGACGACGCCGTCGGCACCGACGCGGAGTGCCCTGACGGCCGACGCCGCCGCCGTGTGCTCGAACGGCCGCGCAGCCGGAGGCCAATGCCAGAGGCCAATGGGGTTTGGCGTCGACGTACACGTCGGCGGCGTCGGTGCTAACGGCGTCGGCCTCCGTCGTCCAAGCTCGCGGTTGGTGCGGAGGACCCGGCGGCAGCGGCCGCAGCGGTGGCGACGATCGTTTAGGCACCCGGCACGCCACGGCGCTCCGGCGTGCCTCACGTTCGTCGGAATCCTGGGCGCACCGTTGGTCCGACGACGACCCCTGACGGGTTCCTGGTAGTCTAGCACTACCTTAACACGATGCTGAAGTCAAAAGTCCCAGACACCCAAGTGGAACGCAGCCAGAGGCCGATGATGATTTTGGCCTCCAACTAAAAAGTTGCTTTGACGGACTCCTTGTGGTACGTCCTCGTATCTCCGGAACCGCTTGTCCTAGATCGTCGGCGACCTCGGCGTTGGACTCCCCGTGTCCTGGGGACCTCGAGGACACCATCGGGGACCACCTGGGTGGTGGCGACAACGGTGTTGAACCGTGTGGCGGCACAGCAGCCGCGTACGTCGGCATCCTGGGCGCACCGGTGGTCCGACGGCGACCTCTGACGGGGTTTCCCGGTAGTCTAGCACTACCTTAACACGATGCTGAAGTCAAAAGTCCCGGACACCCAAATGGAACGCAGCCAGAGGCCGATGATGATTTTGGCCTCCAACTAAAAAGTTGCTTTGACGGACTCCTTGTGGTACGTCCTCGTATCTCCGGAACCGCTTGTCCTAGATCGTCGGCGACCTCGGCGTTGGACTCCCCGTGTCCTGGGGACCTCGAGGACACCATCGGGGACCACCTGGGTGGTGGCGACAACGGTGTTGAACCGTGTGGCGGCACAGCAGCCGCGTACGTCGGCATCCTGGGCGCACCGGTGGTCCGACGGCGACCTCTGACGGGTTCCTGGTAGTCTAGCACTACCTTAACACGATGCTGAAGTCAAAAGTCCCGGACACCCAAGTGGAACGCAGCCAGAGGCCGATGATGATTTTGGCCTCCAACTAAAAAGTTGCTTTGACGGACTCCTTGTGGTACGTCCTCGTATCTCCGGAACCGCTTGTCCTAGAGCGTCGGCGACCTCGGCGTTGGACTCCCCGTGTCCTGGGGACCTCGAGGACACCATCGGGGACCCCCAGGTCGCAAATCCGTGGACTTTGGCGTCAAGGCCTTTGTTTCCAGACATTATCTGGGAAATTTCCAGATATTATCTGGAAAATGTTATTTCCAGACATTGTCTGGAAATGCCGTTTTTTTTTCCCGATATATATCTGGGATTTGACCATTTCCAGACATTATCTGGAAAAAGTAGACATTTCCAGACATTGTCTGAAAAAAAAACGGCCATTTCCAGACAATGTCTGGAAATGGGAAAAAATGTCTGGAAATTTCCAGACATCGGTTTCACCGTGTACCTTACGGGAGAGCCGCGGAAGGGCCCCGAAAATTTCATATCTTTCAGTTTGTATACGGTGAAAAGTCTCCAAAAAAACTAATCGGCGGGTTCATAATTTCATGAGGAACGCGACGGTGTAAATGAAAGTACTCCTTCATGTGCTTTTCAGAGAAATATTTGTATTTAAAGAGCCAAAAGCGGGTCCGATCGGCGGCAATGGCGCCGGGTCCTTCCGGTCGGCGCCGCAGCGCTAATGGCGC